CTTCCAAACTTTTTTTTATTTGAAAGTCAAACTTTGAATGTGGGGAAAACATATTATTTGAACTGTTAGATTAAAATGTAGAGTCTGAACACAGCCTTGTGTTCCAGCAGAGAGTTCTTAAAGTTAGCTATCAGGCTTGATTCATTGTTGCCCCATGGAAATAACAGTAAACTGACTAAATTAACTTTGAACTGACTTTCTACCAAAATGGCAGCGCTGTTTCAAACAATGGAGTTTAAATCTACAACCACTAATATGCCCAACAGAAAAACATTAGTATTCTGCATTAATAAAAACATGTTAAAATGAATGACAATGACATTCAGTGGCCCGTGGCCTGTCTGTGAATTGGAGTCTGTAAATCTGGCTTTGTTGCTGCCAAAGTGACTTTTTAATTGAGATTCCGCTAAAGACTCTTTTTCAAAAAAGGTTTTTTTTTTTTGGGACAAATCTCTGCCACTCACTATAGAAGAGAGTCTTTAGTATTTGCCCTGCAAGTGTGAGGTCTTGAATTCTAATCATAAACACCCTCCTTCCAGCCTCCATTGTGTTCAATAAGAGCAGCTGACAGACATGAATGAGTGTATGAGATTGGAGTCCTATCCATTATTTGTCCAGGATGAAGACAGATTGTGTGACATGACAAAGAAACAAAGATGAAAAAGGATATAATTAATCAGAGTTCGTAAGACACTTCCTCTTAGAGGTGGTACCTCAGTGGAAGAGCTGTACTCTGAGAACTGCAAAAATGCACCACAGAGAGCAAAACCAAACACTAATTAAATGGCAGAGAGTCTTACCGGAGAAACAGCAGGTTCAGTTACATCATGATTGCGGGAAAGGAGTCGGGAGAGCAGGAGTAAGTGATGCACATTACAATCAGACACTCGCATGTCTTTCTGAAAAGGCAGTGAAAACGATCAGCGGGTTCGCCTGCTGTGGTCACAGGAGAGGCTGAAAGGGAGAAACGATTAGAGGATTAGAGGACACAGTGGGCGCAGACACAGGATGGGTTCAGGTGAGCGATGGATCTGAAGTCCCTAATGACCCCTCTGTATTCCAACACAGGTGATATATCTGTTTAACATTTCATTTCCCACGGGAGCACGTCAGAGACATCAACATAGGTGTTGAATGAGCAAGTGAAAGCCATCAGATCGATCGTCCTCCCGGGCTAGCGCGCTGCAATTCAGTTGAACTTCTGGTTTGGCTTGATCAACCCTGCAGAAGGACTGTGCACTGAAGATTTGCTGTGTTAATGTCCTGTAGAGCAAAAAGACAGAATGTTAGTCAAATGGAGATACCAAGGACAGACACTTGTGAGACATGTTCTGTTTATTCTGCAGTCTGCATTTCTTGACTGCTAAATGACTAGAGAATGCATTTCATGGGAGAAGGGGGGAAGTACATGAGGGCAAGCTGCTCTTGATTGAAGAGGATATACCGTAATTTTCAGACTATCCTGAATATAAGCCGCACCCACTAACTTTAAAAAGAAAAAAACAATGTACATGTATAGGCCACACTTGCCTATAAGCCGCAGGTGTCCACGTTGTAACATGAGATATTCACACAGAAAGATTTGTTCAACTTTCAATTTAATACGTACCGGTAACATACACAAATGCTTTTTTCTGAACAGTGCCTGTAACACTGCTGGTTAAAACAAAAAAAGAAATGCAGTACCCTACCAGGAGAAGTCATTGATCGCTATCTTCAGCTTCCTCCAGCGCACCAAAACCACTAAAGTCGTCTTCTTCAGTGTCGGAGTTGAACAGCTTCAGAATATCTTCGTCACACACATCCTCAGTCTCTCTTTCGTTGTCACTTTCAAGTTAGACGCATTATTTTTTTAAAAAAGTAGCGGCTTATAGTCGGGAAATTACAATGATAACTCAAGAAAAGCAGCCTTGACTGTTAGCAGTAGGTGTGATCGCACAGAGCAATTGATTACAGCTCACGAACATCATGAACAATGTGAGGAAGGTCATGTGAAAGCAGAACCTTTTTGCTGTATTGGCAGAAGCTAGTCAATCATATTGTTTACTAATTGTGTGTAATTTGAAGAAAGAATTTTGCGCAAGTATGGGGAAAAAAATCAGTCCACACTACCGAACGCTGTAACTCGACGATATGTCGGCAATCACCGTTAACCACCACCACATATTTAACTCTGATTGACTTCAAACTGGGCTGCAGGGTGGTGCAGTTGGTAACACTGTTGCCTCGCAGCAAGAAGGTTGCCGGTTCGGCACCAGAATCTTTCTGCGTGGAGTTTGCATGTTCTCCCCGTGCAGCGTGGGTTCTCTCCGGGTTCTTCCCACAGTCCAAAAACATGTTGAGGTTAATTGGTGATTCTAAATTGTCCGTAGGTGTGAATGTGAGTGTGCTTGGTTGTCTGTCTCTAAGNGAGACATGTTCTGTTTATTCTGCAGTCATTTCTTGACTACGAATGCACTTCATGGGAGAAGAGGGGAAGTACATGAGGGCAAGCTGCTGTTGATTGAAGAGGATATACTATAATTTTCAGACTATTGAGCGCACCTGAATATAAGCTGCACCCAAGAACTTTAAAAAGAAAAAAACAATGTACATATAGAGGCCACACTTGCCTATAAGCCGCAGGTGTCCACGTTGTAACATGAGACGTTTACACAGAAAGATTTGTTCAACTTTTAATTTAATACGTACCGGTAACATACACAAATGCTTTTTTCTGAACAGTGCCTATGATAGACTGGTGACTTGTCCAGGGTGTCTCCTGCCTTCGCCCTAAGTCGGCTGGGATAGACTCCAGCCCCCCATGACCCTAGTGAGGATTAAGGGGTGTATAGATAATGGATGGATGGATGGATGACTTCAAACTTCAATATTTTACATCAAGTCAGTGAACTTTAAGACATGCACATCTTACCGATGGCAAACAGTCTTGACCAGTTTGGAGGAAGTGACAACGTCCAGGGCTGCAAAATGAAGCCAATGCTGAAGTGCCAAAGGCTGCAGTTCCTGGAATGGCCTCTTGAGGCAGGCTCTAAATGTGAGTCCGTCACATGTTGAAAGGGTTAGGGTTCTAACTCTACAGTGGAAATAAACACCTTTACGGAAAAAACAGTTTAGATCTCTATAGCTTATTTCCACATTCATGACAACTACACGAGGGGAAAATGTTTGATATAACTCACCTGTTTAAATTGTATTGCGGCTTAATGTTATGCACAATTAGGGAGTTGGTACGGACAGAAAACAGGACAGTCCGTGGCCCAGAAGACCTGTGAAAAATGATTGCTCATTTTTACCTCTGCCCACAGCTGTCAGTGTGCACGTCAGCGAGGGAGTCTAATCAAGGCTTAATGTGGAAGCCCGCTGTTCCATCAGATGGGCACAGGACTCACGACTCAAATACACGACTGAAATACTGCCTGTGTTCATGCTGTTAGATTCATCAGGAGGCTACAAACAGGACTCCAGATGAATGATAATGTTGCTCTGTAAGTGCTGGATGTAAATCTGCTTCAAAAGGTGGCATAGCCGCCTTCAAAAGCATTTTAACCGTCAAGTGAAAGTAATGACTTTGCCACTTTAGGCGACAGAATATAAAAGTCGACAGTGAGACAAAAGGTAAAAACTGGCTTTTGCTTTTATGGCACTTTACAGTGTTCTTGTTTAAATACAAATAGGTACACTGCAAAAATTAAAAATTAAAAAAAAAAAATCAAGTAAAAAACTGTGAAAATCTGGCAGCAATGACACAAGAATAAATGCATTAAAAAAAAGTTAGAATACCATAACATTCAAAAGCTGTAAAAACAATGAAAATAGTGGTAAATATCTGTATAATATTTTTTATAATAATTGATAATTTACTTCTTTATATTTCAGATTTACATTTTACAGTCCATCCATCCATCCATTATCTACACACCGCTTAATCACCCACTGTAAATCAGCAAATTACTATTTGTAGAAATACAGATTTTTAATGTGGAAATTTACATTTTTTCTTTCTTTCTTTCTTTTTTCTTCTTTTTTTTTTTAGACAATTAAAATATAAAACAGTATAGTTTTCTTTTTACTAGATAGTATCTGTAATTATGCAAAACAGAAAACATCTCAAATTTTCTCTATTTGAATCTCTATCAGGTAAAATTACAAAATAGTTTTCAAAAATGTCCTTTTTTACACTGCTATAAATGAGGTTTATATATATGCACATACACACACCCTGCACACATGCCTCGCTTCATTGGGAATTTGACTGATTTTGGTTTGTTGTGCTTGTTAAATTTCTCTTCTTGTAGCTGGACAGTTCAGAGATCTGTAGGTTGGAGGCTTGCGTTTTCTCTCATGGGTTCACTCATAAACCACCTCAGATCCTGGTCCAGTGCGACACACTTGCTCATTTTCTATCACACCAAATGCTTGTGATCTCATTGTTGTCTGTTGCTCCTCCATACGAGCTGTCGTGTTATTTTTGCTCTCTGCTATAACGACTGAAGGCACAAGATCACATGAGGACTGTTCACCCCTCAGACCTCTCCATCCCTCGTTGACTCCACTGACCGTCTATGCGCAGCCTTTGACGTCGACGCACGGCTCGGAGAGCTGCCGGGCTGTGAGGTGGGGGTCTGGGCGACTATAAGAGGTGTTCACACAGCCGGAGCGCACAGACACGGCTGACCGCCGCCGAGGGGCCACGTCCTCCTCCTCCATCTGGATAGAAAACGGTTTTTACGCAGAGACTCGCCGCTTCTACACATTTCCCTGGAAACTCTTCCGAGCATTTTGTTCTACTTTTTCTTTTTTTCTTGCCTCCAGTTTTCTCCCACGACTCAATTCAAACAACCCTTCCACATAATTGTTTGAGCAAGTTTTCAGCACCGCGGGCGGAGCGGACAGCGCCGCAGCATGGAGCCCTACACGGTGGCCGGAGCTCAGCTCTCCCTGTCCGACCTCTACTCCGTGATCCCCTTCAACGTGACCTTCCGTGACGAGAACTACACCGACCAGCAGAGTCCGGTGAAGAGCACCGCGAACATAATCATAGCCATACCCATCACGGCGCTCTACTCCGTTATTTGCGTGGTGGGACTTCTGGGCAACGTCCTCGTCATGTACGGGGTGGTCAGGTAAACACCGTCATCTTTTATTGATATTACTAAGTGCTGATGAAAGCAAACTGTATGTGGAATTGAGCTCCATGCAGTGGTATTGTGAGACCCTGCAAAACATCTCAGTCTAAAGAATTTTGTTTTTAGCGCGCTTTTGGATCGTTGTATTCGCCTCTTTTTACGCAGAAACTAAATACACTCTCAGTGCAACGATTTTAATTTGATTACAAGATTTTCTGCTGCGAAAAAGTGCAAATTTTCTACAATAGCTTCCTCAAAAAGTGGTTTAAATATGAATTAAATTTGCGCAAACATCTCCAGAAATACATACATAGATCCCAAACGGATCTTTTTTTGGGTTGCACATGTGGTGAATCATTTAAAGTGAGCAGCGAAATAAACATGCACTGTTCTTTTCTCCGCTGTATTCACATGAGTCTCCATCAGTGGGTGTTGAGCCATGTAAAGTATTCTGCCTGGATTTGTGTGCCAGCTGTGCATCCCAAACAAGTCTGCTGTGGTTTCCTGCATAAATCATGAGATTGTTTTTTTTTCTGTGTGGAGCAACAGCATGTCCAAGTTTAATGCCAAAATAAAAGGTTGATTTGGAGGGGTTGTGGGAGCCAGTGGCATTTTCAGATTTTCAGTTTTGGTCTGACTCAGCTGCACCTCAGGGAGAGAGGGCAGCGCTCCATTAGCTCACACTGATCTGTGGGACTTCAGCAGGAATTCCCACAGTTAGAAAATGCACAGGTTGCTTTGGTCTTGGTTTAGTTTCAGTCAGTGAAAGTGCTGCATAAATCCATCTTCTTACATTTTGTTTTTCGTAGAATACACTCAGTTGCTGCACTAATCTATTAAAATGTTCTTTTTCGAAGAGCGTTTTCAGTTGTAAATTCATGGTTTCTTTTCCATTAGTGAATGTTTCCGGTGTGACTGTAAGTCTGAGATCTAAAAGCAACAGACTGAAGCCTACACCCACCCCGTCATTCCCTGAGAAGCCTCCCAGCCCCAACCTGCACTGCGCTGTGTGGTTGTCAGGGATAAACCAGCTTATATGTTCTGCAGCAGCTATGCTTGTCCTCACTGATCATATTAATTACCGACTAATCTCAAACATTCTCTTCATGCGTTTCTCCCCAATATCACCCCCGAAGCCTTAATTACCTCTGCTGGGTTTTCAGCCCCACAAAACACGACACGCCAGGATCAAATATGCAACGACACACTGCATGTGCACAGTTGAAACACTTATTTTAATGCACATGAGAGGCAGAAGGAGAGTAAACATGGGGGGGATTTCTGCATGTGTCACTCATAAATATTCACACATCTGTCCAAGTTTTCTTCCATGAAGAAAAGACAGAATATCAAACAAACCAAGGTGTGTAAGAGGGGGATGAGGGATGCAAGAGGGAGACATAAAGGAGATGGATGAGAGCTCAGAAAGGCAGTGAATCAAATTGTGACTGGCGTAACTGTTTGTGGGAGTGAGAGGAGTCCTTACTGATGCAAGACTCCCCCTTCCTCCTCCTCCTCCCCGAGAGACGTGAAGCCAGAGCACATTAACCATCCCAGTCAGAATGTATTATCTCCTGTGGAACATCTGTATGCGCTGAAAGGAGCACGTCTATGGACGATACGCAGACTTGAAATGCAAAGTTGTTCATTCATGTGACTTTAGGTTTTCAAACTTTCTGCGGTGCACTGTGGATTTATTTACACAATAATGCCTTAGGTAGGTTCATTTTGTAGGACTCTTGTGGTCGCAGAGAATGATGATGCATGAGGCAAACAAAGAGACAACCACCCACAAGTTTGATTCCTTTTCTACCCCAGTGGTTACACATGGTAGCAGCTAGACTGCAGAATGTGGTGAAAATAAGGTTCCTACTTCCTTTTTTTTTTTTTAAACTGCCCTTTCAGCCACATTTAATAATTACGTTACTAAAGTTTAATTCACTCAACTATGTGCATGGCAATTGAGCATCTGTGAAGGAAAGCTGCAAAATGTGGTTAAAATATCTAAAACCAAACTCGTGCATGGACATCAAGCCAACATATAATGCAAATGATGCTGTAAAAACTGTATTTAACTTAGACATTTTACAGTGCACTCTAAGGTGAAAGTGTAATACAGTGTTATCTATTTATTACAGTGTTATTACAATACCAAAATCCTGACTTGCATGGATTAACTGCTGATTTATATCGATAAATCAAATCAAATCAAGTTGATTGTCATTTTGCTGTACATACAGAGCAGTACAGGCAAGATGAGAGAGCCTTTCTTCAGGATTATTCAACCAGCAACTTTTGCAGAATGTACGTCCAGGATAAGACGCTAAACATTTGCTGTTGCCGTCTCCTGAAGGGGGCGCTGCGTCCATGTGCGCCGCCACTTGTTGAACATGGCGAACCTCTTCAGGTCCTGGTAGGTCTTCAGGGACACAAAGACACACATGATGGTGTGACGATGGTGAAGCTGCAGATGCTGCCCAGAGCTAGCTGTCTGTCTGTCTGCATCCCCTCCAGCTGTCTGTCCGTCTGGGATGCTGTCATGGAGCCATGTTTCTGTTAAAGCAGACACACAGCAGTCCCTCCACTCTCTGCCGGTTTCTCTCAGCAAACGTCCAGCTTGTTGTCGAGGGGCCGGACATTGGAGAGTAGGAGGACGGTGCTGCTAGTCTGGAGGGGTTAGCCTTTAGCCTTTAGCATGAATCCCGGCTCTCTTCCTCCTCCTTTGTTTACGTTTGTACCGTTTTGCACTTCCTTCTCTCTCGGGAAACTGCCGGCGTCATCTCTGATCGGACTCCATGTTGGTATAGTTCGTCCACATCACAACCGATCGCTGCAATTCCAGCGCCGTTCACTGTCCTGATGCCCAGCAAAGTCTCCTGGCCGCAAGTTTTGCGGAATAAACGTCACTCAAAACTTTCGTTGTCTCATGAAAGGGCTGGTGCATCTATGCGCGCCGCCATCACCGTGGCATCACCATCATGTACATGGAATGATACCATAGCAGAAAACAATGGCAGTGCACGGCAGTGAAGGGTGTGAAAAGACACCATTAGAGCAACAGGGCTGAATTATTGCACCATCGTATGTTCAGACATGTTACGATCCAGCTCAAACAGGAGGAACTCATTAGGATCACATCTCTCCACCTTCACACTGCTGCTTATTAAAGGTTAAATCCTTGCAGAGATAAGTGCAGCAGTGCTTGAGGGAACATTTTTATCCAGCCCACTTTCACTCAGTATTTCTGCAGGAATTCACTTAATCATTTGTATCTGGGGTCACTGATCTGTGAAACCCTGATTTTTTAGCAGATTGCAGGAACATGACTCAATGTTACTGGTGTGAATGCTGCATCTGCTTACATATGTTTCCACCCTGGTAAGTTAGCTAAAAAAAAAGACAGCTCATTATGCTTAATTGCCTCATCTTGATGGTGAAAAACATTTGTCATAAAAAAGAATTCAGTCATTTGGCTCGTTCAGGGGCACGGTGTAATTATGTTTTCTATCACAATCAATAACCTGTCGCTCTGCGCGTCCTTTGAACAAGCTGACATGTCTGTTGTTGAGACGCTTTGCCAAGTTGGACGCGTCGGCTCTCTTGCTCTGCGTAGGTTTGAAACAACATTTACGGGCTTTGTGGCGTCTGTGGGCTCAGCCAGACTGTTGGCTCTGCGAGAAATAAAAATGCCATATTTTGCTCTGATTTGAGAACAATGTGTGGAGAGTTGGCACAGCTGTTTGTTTTTGTAGCCAGGCCCGTTTTTTTGTCATCATGAACGCTGTAGTGTGCAAAAAGCATTTTAAAAAAAACAGCTGGCATGTTTGCAGGAAGTGGAAGCGCACACACATGACGGCAACTCACAGGAGATAGGACTTCTATTAAAGCAATGTCAAAAAACGATACTACCTCTGTTGAAAGCTGCTATCAACGATGTGAATTTCTCCACTGTGAGATAAATAAAGGCATATCTTATCTTATCTTATCTTATCTTAATGAAATTGGGAAAAGTACCGTTTTTGACAGCAGCTTATTGTGTTACTTTTCCAGTATAGTCAATATATCGTGCAGCACTAATATGTACTAATACATATAATATACATCAGTGACTTTCTTACGCTTGGTATTTATTAACATGTAGCTAAGACAACAACATCGCTGTTATTTGCTGTCGTGTGGCTGCGAGACGAATAATAAAGTGGTAAGAAACTAAATACCTTCGTTGTTAACATTTGCTTTTGCCCCGAACATGGCTGAAGTGCTGTAAGTAATTTTCCAGCATTGTTGTGGTGATACAAAACTGCTTCTCGTCCAGCTTGCAGTCCACCTGACTGTCCCTGCAGGTGTTCGACCCACAGGGCATTGACTCCATGTTTTTTTTAAGCTGTGCCTGACCTTGGGGGCACCTAACAGGGTCTATTACCCGCAACAACACAACTCCGAGGATACCAAACCCATCCAACACACTGAGGTGTAAACTCATCTACTGCATGTAAAAGATGGACATAGCCACCATGACGTCACCCGCTGGTTCTGCCATTTTCAAGCTTCAAGATTGGAAATTGGCTTTATCTGTTGAAACTATACGTAACAAGCAAGCACTGGATTGACTGAGAACTCGAGGACAACACATACACCGGTTTGATAACAACAGAAGAAACAAGGAGCCATAATTTACAAAATAAACCTCATGCTGTATTGAAAGAAGCAATTGAGAGAACAAATTCATTACCAAAATGTATCCTGAGGCAACAAATCAAATAAGGGTAATTGTTTTCATAGACTTGTATACAATTGGGCTTTTTTTTTTTTTTTTAGCCCTTGGCTCCTAAAGAGAATGCAAATTTAAGGCATTGCCATGTTGGCTTCACTTTTCAGACCTAGAGGCTAGGTCCATCGTTTATATACTCTACGGCTAAAAGCAACAGTCATATGGTAAAATGTTAGCTAAACATTGCATAAATGGTAATTATAGATAGTTAATGCTTCACGTAATG